GAAAGAAATTGCTAAATTTTATGTTTTTTGGGTCAAAAATGGGAAAAACCTATTTTTATCCCATGAAACCCCCCGTAAACCCCCGTTCCCATGGTCCGATCATGCTGGATCGCGAACTCGTTCAAATAAACGTAGGTTTACACGTTTGTACCAAATTTCATCAAAATCGGATCATTTTTGCTCGAGTTATCGTGCTAACGGACACATATATATATAAATAAATATATAAATATATATATAAATATATATATAAATATATATATATATATATATATATATATATATATGAATTTGAACGGATGGTGTTTTTGGCCTCTAGGGACCTCAAAACGAAAAAAAATCGGTCCCGCGTCCAGGTCTTACCATGAGTACTACAGTAATAGCTTATTCCCTATATGGGAAACTCGCTAAAAAAAAATACGTCAAATAACACTTGTAATTACAAGTGAGGTACTTTTATACTTTAAGATATATAAAAGTGTTTAAACTTCATTAAACTATGTCTACATTTCCCTTAAATGTAATTGAAATAATTATGCCATTGTAACATTCAATGTTCTATTATCAGGACACCCACTCTCAGTTTTAGTCATATTAATTGGGTTGTTTTTTACTTTTGTGATTACACGTAAAACTTTTTTAATAGTTTGGTAATTAATTGACTATTAAACATGGAAACACAAAAAAGGAAGGTGTAATTTTGATGGCTAATTCTGCAAAAAAAACTATACAACTAAAGGATCACAATTAATTGAAAAATTCATAAATTTAGGGCTTTAAAATCATTGCGGTTGGTTTTACTAATTAAAAATTAACATATAAAAGAAAAATGCAACACAAAAAATAAAAACACATAAAAATGCTGTATGTAACGGACACAATTGCCCAATAACCATGAATGATGTTAAAAATAGTTACTGATTGTTTAAAACAAAAAACAGAATATTGTAATTAAGACATTAGATGCTAGACAATGTTGACGAAGGGTGTATTAAAAATGAATCAAATCGATTGTTGAGTAAATTGATGATCACCAAGAATAATGGAAATAGTATATGCAAATATTTCTGAACTTACAACAAAAGTAACGATTTAATCATAAAAAAAAGGGATTTCATGAAGTGTTAGGGAGTAGAAGAAAAAGTTAAATCCTGCTAGTTATTTGAATTAAAGTTTATTCATAACCAAACAGTCATATTCTCAACACACATTATCTTAAAACACAGCATTATAATTTGTCTATGTATGTTCAGGTAGTTGTACCATCATTGTAATGTTATGGGTTATGAGCTGAACATTATTTTCCGTTAGGGAAGTGTATTCCTTTTCCAAAATATATTACGTGATGGTATGTGTATGTGCAGGTAGTTGTCCTGTTTGCGCTGGCCGCCCTCAGTCAAGCCCAGCTCGTGCCCCTAGCCTCGGTCAAGGGCACCGACGCCGAGTACGACCCCAACCCCCAGTACCAGTTCGCCTACAGTGTACAAGACCCCATCACCGGAGACGCCAAGGCCCAGGAGGAGAGTCGTGACGGTGACTTTGTCAAGGGATCCTACAGCCTGGTCGAGCCTGATGGTAACGTCCGCACCGTCCAGTACACCGCCGACCCCGTCAACGGCTTCAACGCCGTCGTCAGCCGCGCCGTAGGTGCTGCCCCAGCTCCAGTAGCCGCCCCTGTGTACAAGGCAGCTCCTGCTCCTATTGCCACCCCCATCTACAAAGCCGCGCCCGCCCCCATTACCACCCCCGTCTACAAGGCAGCTCCCGCCCCCATTGCCTCCCCCGTCTACAAGCCAGCCTACTACTCACCTTCTGCCTACTCTTACCAGCCCTACAGATACTCTGGCTACCCTTACACGTCCTATCCTTACTCCGCCTACCCTTACTCTGGCTACCCTTACTCTACTTACCCATACGCTTACTAAACTTTCTTGTGATAAATGTTAAATCGATTAAATAAAAAAATGTACAAACATATTGATTTAGTTTTTATTCCTAATGAACGTATTATATACTATATAGTTACTACATTAATAAAACTGTTTTTATGCTTAAGAGATAAATGAAATGACTGAATACAAGTTATAAGTCAACACAAAGTGTCAAAGCTGGTTAATTGTTCTGACTTTCTCACAAGCATGTAAATTTGGTACAAGTTAGGATTAAAAACTAGTATAATTTAGGAATAAAATATAATACGCTATTTAAATTATTAGGTTAAAAAGTATTTCAGGAATTAAACTGAGATATCTTAAAATTGTCATCAATCTATACAACGCCTTGTTGGATCTAAAAGTAATATAAATTTAGATTCTTAAATATTTTACGTATGCGAATGAACTATAGTGGAGAAGCAATAAGTTCTGAACTTTACGACTTCGAGCAATTAACAACTATGACAACCTTTTACACAGCTTATTTATATGACTATAAAAGAAATGTAGTCCTGAAAATTTACATTCCACGTGAATACAAATTATTTTTACTATAACGCATTGGTTGCAAGTTGAAAATAAAACTCAGGATACTGAATATCCTCACACTCCTAAACTGATGATTTCAAGAGGGCGATGTAATAGCACGTTGGAACTGATGTAATAGAAATCTGGAAAATTATTTATATTTATTGTTAGTAAATATTTGCTTTGTTCTAAAATCATAACAAATCATTTTAAATGTAAGGTAATATATTTTATTGCTTTTAAATTGTGTGTCATGTTTATTTACAAACTTAAAGTCCACTTTTAACTGAATACAAAATACGCCTTAGGTATTGCATTATAACGAATTCTTAGCCAAAAAAATTAAAAATCAATCCTTTGTACATAGTTCTCTTTTTGCTGTCTATTAAAGAATGTTTTGGGAATTTTCACAATTCTTATAAAGCTGTAAATATAGATTCACGATCAAGAAAGAACTCATCTAGGTTATGTAGGTGGTGTCTAGGTTTTGATAACAATAATATACAGTTAAATCGATTGTTTAAAACAGCCCACCCAGTACTGCAGTCAACTGTGGTTGACTTATAACTCAGTTATAAGTTTAGCTAAAAGATAATTGAGAGTCAATAATCGCTTATTTTCTTTAAATATTGTCGTATGAGAACCCGAAAGTTACATTAGAAATTCAAGATAGAAGCAATAATATAAAAGAATAATATTATATCACCGATGGAACACTGAGTAAATTGGCTCAAGTAGCTACGATCTCTATAAGTGAAAACAATTGTCTTAGACTGCTTCATAACGATGGTTGATCTACTTTACGTCTTCTTTAGAAGCGTTGCTGCCCTATAAGTTCTCACAATATGATCCATAATCCTTATGGGTAACTGAAAGCAAAATTTTAATGCATGTTTTATGTCCGACAACGCCTTGAGGGAGTTGAAGTATTCAACCATACAACTCATGTATTGCTGCTATTTTACTATTTCAAAACATACCAAAACAAGATAGAAATTATCAATTTATAGATTACTGTATGAACTATAATCTCATAGCAAAAATTAGAGTACGCTATTATTCGTCAACCCTTAGGGAGTGCTGCCTTAAAAAATTGTTTGCATTTTTCATAGCTTTTTTTAATTTTTCCTTTTAATTCTTGGTCTTCCTGTTACGCTAACTTTTAATATTTGACTTATTTGTTACCTAAAACTACATTTCTTCAGTATATAGTTTTTAGGTTTTCTCGTATACCCCCCTTTATACCTTTTTATTAGGCTCAAACTTTGAAATCTTAACATTATCACAAATTTTTTAATACTTTTACCACTCGAAGTGATTTAAAGTAACTTTTAAACACACCAAAACTACTCATTGGCACACTTTAATTTTTTTGGAAGTATAACTTTTGGTACCCAACAAAATTTTTTAAGTGGGGACTTTTTCTTGAATTACCCCTTAAACCAAGGAAGCATTTAAAAATGGGGCCACAGCATGCCAAAGGCAAGTTGGATAGTATAACGTCGTATACACATTTTAGGCATGGCTAGACATAAAACACACTTAAAAAGGGGATTAAGTATACAATAATCAGTATCTTCAGCAAATAAAAAAAAAACTGTCCAAACATTATTGTAAACCTTGGAAGTGCACTGTCCCGTCTAGAATATTAGCAAAAAAGTTGACAAATATTATCCAAATTTGGCACGATAAACATCAGTTTTTCGCTATGAAATTGTGAAAAGATTACTTGTATGGTTTTTTATTTTATAATATTTTGGAAAGTTCTTGATAAATGATTGAAAAAGCATCTTGGATAGTGATACCATTGACTATATAACACTACCTAGTGTTATATAGTCACCATAACCTAAAACTACCTAGTGTTATATAGTCAATGGTGATACTTAAGCTATAATTTTAAATGGTCTGAAAACACCTTTTAATGTCGTCACAAAAAACACATTTTCTTATACGATTCTTAAAATGCTGAAAAAAATATATTTACTAAAGTTATATGATCCATATACTGAGCTATCAAATTATGATGTGTTGAGTCTACACATCCAAACTCTTAATAAGAAATTACCTCCCCCCTAGAAATTACATTTGTTTATTTCATTTTGCTACTAAGTACTTCAATAGGAACCTCCTGTGTACTTTAATTGTTCATTTTGTTTTATTTAGGAATGCACGCAAAATTCGCCAACCAAATTTGAGTTTCCGTCTTCAATTACCTCTCTTAGTAAACATAGATTTCCAACTATTACCTCCCTACCATCTTCACACATACAATTATGGCACGCAACACCATCCTCCAGCAGTATCTTGCAGCTAAGATATATCTAACAAATTATAGCATGTTCAGCTTATAACAAATTATAGTTGTTTGTAAAACATATTCTCTGGCTTGTAGACAGTTTAGCAAATATTTAGGAGGAATAAATTTCAATCGAGTGACTGACAATTTTGGTTTAGAAGGAAATACAAAGCATTGGAAATTCAAGCAAATCACGTGCCTTTGGTGATTTTAAAAATAAATAACAAACCATAACAAAATTTAAAAGAAAGAAGGTTTATTTGAAGAATACAAGATTTATACAGTATAGACAACAATGTTTAGTAAGCGTAGGGGTAAGTAGAGTAAGGGTAGCCAGAGTAAGGGTAGGCGGAGTAAGGATAGGACGTGTAAGGGTAGCCAGAGTATCTGTAGGGCTGGTAAGAGTAGGCAGAAGGTGAGTAGTAGGCTGGCTTGTAGACGGGGGACGCAATGGGGGCGGGAGCTGCCTTGTAGACGGGGGTGGCAATGGGGGCGGGCGCGGCTTTGTAGATGGGGGTGGCAATAGGAGCAGGAGCTGCCTTGTACACAGGGGCGGCTACTGGAGCTGGGGCGGCACCTACGGCGCGGCTGACGACGGCGTTGAAGCCGTTGACGGGGTCGGCGGTGTACTGGACGGTGCGGACGTTACCATCAGGCTCGACCAGGCTGTAGGATCCCTTGACAAAGTCACCGTCACGACTCTCCTCCTGGGCCTTGGCGTCTCCGGTGATGGGGTCTTGTACACTGTAGGCGAACTGGTACTGGGGGTTGGGGTCGTACTCGGCGTCGGTGCCCTTGACCGAGGCTAGGGGCACGAGCTGGGCTTGACTGAGGGCGGCCAGCGCAAACAGGACAACTACCTGCACATACACATACCAGCAAGTTATATTTTGGAAAAGGAATACACTTCCCTAACGGAAAATAATGTTCAGCTCATAACCCATAACATTACAATGATGGTACAAATTTGCTTTTATTCTTGGGTTGGAAATTATTATTTTTAATTATCAATAACCACGAAATATTATGCCTTCTTTCACCAAAAATTGTAGCCTGAAAAATTACAAAACATTTGTTTAACCTTACCTAGAAAACAGTTATAAAATAGAATTTTTTAAAAATATATCAATGTTCAATTGTTGTTGGTTATAATAGAGGTGGATAAGTTATACAGACAAATTTATGGTTTCAGGCTGGGATTAGTTTGTCAGGCCAAACAAGATAAAATGTGTTATATGGCTGTGAAATAAAAGAATCAAAATAATAGCGATAGAAATTTAGGTTGATCGTAAGGAAATTTAATCACACTCTTTTATTATCTCTGATAAAAATTAATATTTAAATTAATTAGTAAATATTTAAATGGTTATTTGTAATTGAACATTATTTTATTACTGTACTTACTTTTTGAATAGGACATTCTTTCATATAAACACGAGTTTTGGAAAATATATCGTCAACTAATTGGAAAAATCATAATCTTATTATTTGATTTTCATCGATATAACTTGACCCCCTATCGTTGTAAATAACGATTACAACATCAGGGTATTTCATGGATAAAATATTATTCAAACATATTTTAACACGTTAAATTAACAATTGAATAGGGATAATTTAACAAGTCTTCAAAATGGCTCTTATTGTTTGAGTTTTTTTTTTATTGAAAAAGAATGAACTTCATTTAATGACAATGACTTTTACCTCCACAAGAAAGATCATCATAAGCAAGACCTCTCTACCTACCGCTGAAGACAATAGCGAAGGAAGGTGTTGATGGACATGAATTAAATCTACATACATTAGTGCGTTTTGTACAAGGTTTTTAAAACCGGATGAAAAACTGTGTTTTCGGATAATAGAGTCAGATTTTCTCTTTCAACTAAATTGATAGCGTAAAACAATGGCTTGTAGCTGTCAATGAACGAGCCAAGTTTGAATGGCATAAGGAACTACTGTAGGTAATTTGAAAACTTAATGAATAAATAAGAATTTACAGCGGTATAAAGTACTACATTGTGATACATTTTAAAATTTTGGTATGTAAAATTAGTAATTTATCTAATCATTTTACATTATTAAATTTAAATTAAATTTATGAATAAATTATCTTCTTGCGTTTCTGGAATATATAATATGTTATATGTTATAACATTTATTATCAGTTTTAACTCAATTAGTGAACAACAATTATCAGTAGGCTTCTTATTATATACAGTATAACAATTTAAACCCTTTAGGATCAACGGTACTTAGTTAGGATCAATATATTTTCTAGTAAAAAGTAAATAAAGGATAATAAAAAAATCTGGAACCAAAAAAGTTGAATTATTATTTTACGTAATTTGTGTTTAGTTTACTTAGATTGTAGTTTACTTAAATTTTAATACAATTATAGCAATGCACTGGGATTATAAATTTGTACATATAGGATAGCAATCCATACCATCTTATTATTATTTTATTACTAACTTGTAGTTGTTGTTAGTTGATATTTGATATAGTTGATATAGTTGACACTTAAATATTTAAAACACATTACACTACTAAATTTAATAACTGTTACATATGATGATATTTACATTGTATTAGCGCTCTTAAACATTTAGGCCTATAGAAAAAATACTATTTACACAAATCGTATGAAAATATCTTTGTAAATTATAATACGTATGTACTATTAATTTACAAAGATATTTTGCAGTAATTAGTATATCCTGAAACATATTATAGGGCCTATACGAGTTAATTTTTTAAATCAAATGTTGCCTCTTTCAAACACTTTGAAGTCATCTCAGTCAATTGAAAACTCAAAATTACCAATAGAGTACATCATTTATGGTAAAAACAAATTTACATTGAATAGCGTGCAACGAAAAAACATATTTTAGAAGGTTTCCTTATGTTGTAAAATACATTAGAATTAGGTAGTTATAATAATAAAAGTAAAATAAAAACCAGAGCTTGATCTCAAAAATATTATTAGACAATACACCCTATTGCTTTGCCTAAACTATACGAAATAAGTTTAAGTCTTTTCTTTATCAAAAAGTCTTTAAATTGTAAAAAATAAGATTTTTTTAAATATAGCTGAGAAAAATCAAATTCAAATAAATTTTAAAAATATCCCTTAACTGTACCTACCTTGTGGAAAGCCATGGCGAGGATGTGGAGGGTGGTAGATGGTACAGAAGTACAAGAACAGAAGTGATGTCAGGAGGACCCTAGGGTCGTATTTGTACCAAATTCGACTCCTCAGCTCCTCCCCCAAGTGCTCTGCTATGCAAGGTCTGGTTTCAGCTGTCAAGGTCTTTGCCACCGCCAACGGAATCGCACATCTTTGCAGATCTTCTCCCCTCCCTTTACCATTAGGACAATACTTGCACGAGATACGGTGAATGATGTGTTTACATAGAAGTAATCTACCACTTGTTATATAAATGTACACTATTCTGTTACTTGATTGGCGAATCGCTTCAAAATAGCAGAGCAAATTGGTCCTCGAATGAGAGCATGTAATATTTTGTAGATAATTTGGTTTGCAGAAGGTGGCTTAAGAACCGACGGGTCTCAAAATTTGTATCGCTAAAGGCCATTGGTAATCGGGTCTCAGGAACAGAAGACTCACGTTCCCATGAGCTGGCGACTTTAACGAACGGTTACGGAGAGTACTCGAGCTAGGAAACGGAACGGGTTCACTGAGGGTTTCAACAATTTGTGAACATTGTGGGGTTAAACTAATGGTGTTATTTTAAATTTAGATTATGTGTTCAGTTAGGCCTACTGGGTATAAACTTAAAATGCAAGACAATAAAATGTGGTATTATATCGATTCTTAACTACAATTTTAAGTATTTCGTTTTACGTCTAAGGTTGACTAGGTAATTAGTGTAACTTAAAAGTCCTATTTGGAGTCAACGTCCAACAGAACAGATAAAACTTGTTTTACAAGAGTAAAAGAGTTGTAGTATACTTGATTACAAATTAATATAACTTTACTAAATGGTAGATTGGAATACTTTACGTTTCAACATCGGCAAATTCTTCATTTACAATACATTATAACACAATGGTCTAAAAGAGCGGAATTTTACAAAACATTATTCCTCAATCTCCGATGATCTGACACAACTAAATAGTTTAAAATAGTAAACTTCTGGAAATTTATACCAGAACGATGGGGTTAAAATACCACTTGAAAAGAAAATATTGTCAGTTTTATTTTTTTTAAGCTACGTTTCATTTAAAATAATATAACTTTATTATATCTAGTCGATTGCATGATTTTCAAATCGTAATGTAATAGTAGGGTTAAACTTAGACCAGGTTTAATTTACTCATGTTTACACACTTGCAGTTTTTTTTTAAGCTTAATCATGGCTCTTTTCATAATAGACAAACGATTTCAACGAGACAACGATCTTCGTAAAAAGACTTCACATCTCTGATAAAGCTAAAATTCATACTGGTACGAATTATTACTATTGTAGTAATATGGGACAAGTACTCTTTTAGCTTTTGCTATTACTTTGACGAATTCCAAATCAATTAAAGAGCAATTAAAGCCCGTACGGTTATCGTCCCCCAACAATGCCCCTTCTGCTGCCAAGCCAGGTACTCTATATGCCCAACGAGCAGCTGTGGGAGGCATGCCCAGCATATCTCACGCTGTTGCTAAATTTGCTACTGTCTGGGGAACAATTGTGTAACTTACTTTCAGACATTTGATTGAATCTACATTACACAATAGGTTATTAAACAGCTCAACCATGATCCTTAGAGTGTCGAAAATTTAAAAATAATTAAAATTATGCTTCATCTTTTAAAGGGCATGCTGGTAGTACTTATGTGAAAACTTTCCTTATGCAGATATGGGATTAAGTAATACGGTAATACATTGGGTACTGTAGAGCTTTTGTAAAACAAATTATTATTGTACAGTTTTTACGATAATATGAAAACATGTTCCGTAAATAGATCACATTCCCTTTGTTAACTGATATTTTCAAGTTTGTTGAAAATCTGTTAATGATTCCTCATATTATAACGATGGATCAGAAAGGATATTGAATTAAATCTATTTATGAGGTAATAGGGTAATACGATTGTTTTATTAAATTCCTACATTTAAAATTACATACAGTATAATCAGACGCTGCTGGCGTCTTTATAGTAGAAGAAAGTCTTTGCTTTCAAAATAAAACATATCAAATAGACAAATAATCTCACACGTTTTTAAGTTAGCCGAATAATTTAGTCTGCGTTTCTCAAGAACTTACTGAAATTCCCCACAAGAATGCGTTTATCAACGTTTTAGGTATTGTCACCATAGGTTATACTTTTATTGAACAAAAAATATATATATTATAAACCCTTGTCAGTCACATTTCCTCGCATAGTTCAAACATATCGCTCTAAGCATATTCATGCACCACTGGAGAAATCTAAAATTTTTCCTTTACCTGATTATAACTTACAAAACATAGGTAGGTATTTTTTTAAGTTTATAAAGAAATAAAATGGATGGTACAGACCTTTAGACACAGTAATAGGAATTGCACTACTGCCTCAAATTGATGATTAAATATTTAATTTAAGGTAAAAATATAAGTTCAAGGTCAATAGCCTACCAGAAAACATTAAATTAACAAAATACTTGTAAGCAGCGTCCAACAAAACAACATTTAAATAAAGGAATTTAATTGAGTGATAAATATTTCTTCAATGACTTCATTCTTTACAAGCCTCTCAAAAATGGGTCCAGAACATAAAGACAAGCATTCCATTCATAATTATCACAACATTGTGGTGCAGCATTAAGAAACAATGTGTCTCGTCTGTTGAAATAAAACATGATCACCCACAAAACCAAACAGAAAATGAAAATAACAGTAATTCAACACGTCAGACAACAAAGAGACCTAAAATTTCAGTAGCAAGTAGAATTTGGCAGCATCTGTCCTCGTAACAGAACCTATAACTCAGCCAGGACGTTCAGGACATTCTTGTGGAGGACGTCTTAACCTTTCCCATAAGGAACACAGCTGTAGCTCAGCTGGCCCAAGTGACAATCCTTGGCATTTTGTGTGATGCTCCGAATATTCTTACAAAGTCCTGGTCGAATCAGGGAGATGTAACCGTTATACTTCAGCTAGGATATTTTTACCGTAGATATATTTGGCGTATTTTGTGTCCTACTTCAAGCAGGGAACGAGACTACGCACAAGATTAACATCAGTGTTTTTGAAAATGACTTAAGAAAACTCGTTATACTGTACTTATTTAGTTCTGAAGTACTTCCTTCAGGCACAATTTTAATGGTGTATTTCATTGTTTGCCATCCGGAAACGGTCTAATTGTGATAATGTTTCTGTTTTCATAAACTTAATTCTATAATAACGTAAAACTGACTCTCTATTCCTCTCATAAGATTTTTTGGTTGGATTTAACTCAATTAGGAATACGGTATCCATATTGAAATCTGTATCTAGTTTAGTATGATATTCATTCATAATATTTAAGTCCCGCAATCGGAATTTTTCTCAAGACTGTTTATAGTCTTATTTCCCTAGGCTACACACTACATTTGTAATCGGTAATAATTTTTCAAGTACTGTTTACTACCGTAAGCCAACCTTTAGCTAACAATCCATTTATTTGGCTTCTTTGTGACAAACTGGGCTTTCTCACCTCAGTCTAGAGTCCTTATTTTCATAAAATAAATAGCTCACAACATTGTCAAAGCAGATGTTTTGATGTGTTACAGACTTTTATCATGTTGAGTTTGCAACGAACCTAAGCTGCATTCTGTTGTTGAACTATTGGACTACAGATAGAGGTAAGGAAGCGTATTTATAACCTTTAGATAATTTTGCAGAAGAATACATCAATCAACTCCATATTGAACATTTGACATTTTACGTCACATTGGCGAGTTGTTGGCGCATGATCACATTACGTTGGGACGGGGTAATGTGATGTTTTGCACTTATTTGGCAGTACGACCTGTGACCTGGGAATGCTCTTGTGGGACAAGCACACAGTCCATGTATCAGGGTGAGGCTACAGCAACAAGACCTAGACTGGACACAAGGTGGGACGACAATGGATGGGTCTGGGGATGTTTTGTTTTTACTATTTACATCGCTATAAACTCAACCGGTGCAGTTAGTTTTGGAACCATACAGCACGTGGTAGTTATATATTCGCCACAGAAAAAATTCAAAATTAGTCAATTTACAGCTGCTTTGTTACGTTTTCGTTGACGTTCATTTCAGTTTTCATTGTTCAAGTAATTCAAAACTAAGATTTAGACACTCCACACCCTAATTTACCTTGGCTCAAATAGTACGTTTGTTGCTAGAAATAACGTCCAAGGTATAAACAAAATTGTCAAATGTTTTAAAGAAAGTCGTATACTAATCCACAGCTATTGTATACCTTCCATTAGGGTAACATAGGAAGTTAACATATTAATCGGCGATTAGCACTTTTGATGTGTTTGTAAACGATAAGCGAAGATTTAAGATGTAATTTGCAAAATCGATTATCTTTTCAAACTTATATTGATAGGAACTTTATACGTTATTGAAATAAAATCAAACCAATGATAAGTGGGTTCAAAAGTCATTCTTCCCAACCAATAAGACTGTTTCCACCTACAGTTTATATTTTCAAATGGTAAGAGATTTGTAAGTCATTGGTTACATTATAAATGCAACCATTTTGTTGTTAACTTCTCCTGGCAATTTGTGTACAGGGTTTTAATTTCATTTAGTAAATTTTGATCAAGATTGAATCTATTCAATTGAACAGATATTATTAATCGGCCAATATTTTGACATAACAAAGTTGGCACACTATAATCTAATATATTGACAGTAACAACCCCATACCAACACTAAAACACTCGACATTTCCTCGTGGTAAATTTGTATTTACAAATCAACTTAATGAAAGACATTTACAGATGTGATTGGGCCTTAGAAACATGTGACTAACAATCAGCTGATCCTGATAACCAAACATTCCCGTGATGATTGCCTATCCTTGACATTTCACTGTGAAATGTCAAAGACTACCAAACAGGGAAGAGTCCGGATGATGTTGAGTGCAGAAGTAGGCGTAACCGCTCCAGACTACACGTTAACCCACACGGACGTGTCTGACATGACACGACTTGCGCTTGGACTTTGACAGAATTCTTTAAAAAATCTGTTACACAACAGCTGGTGATGTCTGTCAAAC